ATGCATAATATGATTTGCATTAAAAATGCACATACACTATTAATGTATTTTTCAATAGTTATAATAATTTTGAGAATTTAATTAATTATATTGAAACAAGAAATTAAGTATTTTTATTTTATGTTTATGATTTATTATAATTATTTATTTATTTATTTGAAATATTAATATATTATACTTATTTAGTGTAATGTTAATTGTGTCCTAAAAGAGTGTAGACTGTCCTACTTTTAAAAAAATATCGTAATCCATACGTTTCCTTAATATATTATACTTATTTAGTGTAATGTGTCCTAAGAGTGTAGACGTCCTACTTTTTAAAAAATTATCGTATCCATACGTTCCCGTATCTTGTGTCACTTGTCTATGCAATTTATCTCCCTGCTATATGAGACTACTCTATATACCAAGCTAATCAATCAATGTCTTTTTTTTTATATCCAAGAAAAAAGGAATGTTTTTTTTTTTTTAAATTGTGTCTTTTTTTATTATTGAATGATTAAAAATACTCATTTAATTTAATTTTTTTCTAAAAGAATCATTTAATTTAATTTAATAGTCTAGGTTACATGTATTTTAATTTAATTTTAACTTAATTTAATGGCATTATCTTGATGAGATGTAACTAATAGATATTATATTGGTGAATACATTATCTGAAAATATAAAACAACCGATCTTTCTTTCTTACAATAGTGTTAAATAACTGCTTTCACAATTTTATAGCTGTCATTTAGGATAGACTTATCAGCTTTTATATATTATTATATAGATGATTTTAACTTTTTGACAATTATATCTCTAATTAGCGCTTATGCCTCAAATTTAAATGGAAAAATTATATTTTATGAGACCCACATTAAAATTTGGGTTAACTAAACTGCACCATAATTGAACTTATGGTGGTTAGAAATTTTAGTTTTTTTCACTCTCTTTGATGCAAATACGGAAGATTGGGATGGTGAAAAACAACTGCAATCCTGAAGAACTAACCCACTCATTTGATTTCACCGTTTTAGCCTGTGCTTTATAAATTGTTTGTAAAAATAAAAATAGATTCCTATTGAATAATAAGACTGTTCCTATTCTAATATTGTTTCATTACAATTGTTAATGTTTGAATCAATTTATAAGTGTTTCCACTTGGTCATTTATTGTTTCATTTTTATAAAGTGAAGAGGTTGCTAGATGAATTAAAACTTTTTCTAGATGAATTATTATGATACTTTCATCGAAGCTCTATTCAATGAGAAGTTTCATTCAATATACCATAGCTTGAGAACAAAAATCTTTGTATTTCCTTTCACGGCTTGTTTGTTCCTTTGGGCTTAACGACTTTAAAAGACTATATCTAGCAAAAAATAATTTTATAAAAATTGGAATAAAAACAAACTTGATTGATGTTGCTACTTATGATTCACGTAATAGTCATCTTTTTTTTTTTTCCTTGAAAATAATCTTATATTTTATTATTGTCAGTTATTAATATTTAACAAAAAAAAATCAAGAATAACTTTAAAATTAATTATTTAATAATCTAATATTTTTAAAACTTTAAAATTAAGAATAATAAATATGAGTTCAAAAATCTAATGATATTTATATAAAGATTTTTGAAATTTAATCAATATTTGTACCCTTTCACATCCAATAACTATTAATATTTTAAGCATTCAATATTGTCGTTTTAAAATTTTTATTTTAAAATATATAAAATTATAAATAAGTTTAGAAAATTTATCTGAAGCATTAATAAAAAGAATAAAATTCTTAAATTAATGAAGGTCTAGCAATTATGGTTGTCTTACCAAATAATATCTAAAAAATGTATATAACGTAGACTAACATAGCAATCCGCTGGCCTTCGCTTAGTTATTGATAAAAGGAATGAAATATCTGTTAAAACATTTTTTTTTTAATTTGGGATTTATGAAATTATGTATTTGATGATAAATGAATTTGTATTTAATTCACTCCATAATTGAAACTATGGTGTTTCAATATCGTTCTGTCAAATGCAACATTAATATTTTAGACTAAAAATTATGATATCGTATCATTAATTAATGTAATATCATATTAATATGAATTAAATTATGTTTGATAAATTGTAATGCAATATAATGATAATAACATTACATAAAATACTAAACATTGCCTAAGATCTTAAAAATATTAAAAATACCTTGAATTGATATTTTGGTGCATGAAATTGGATTCCCATCCTATATGTAATTTACATAATAGTTAGAGATTCAAAACCATAAATTTTCTTAATGGTATTTTGAATTGATATTTTTTAATTGAGTTGCTAAATATTTAATTTTCTTAAAATTAATTTTTGTATGAAAAATATAATTTATTTTGAGAGATTCTGATTCAAATCCACATAATTTATGCAAAAAGATTCTGTTTATACTTTAAAATTTGTAAACACCATATGTTAAAAGAAAAGCAAATTTATTAAAAATTAAATCAACAATTCACTGATAGATAAATATATATATTGTTTTCACAAATCCCACCATAGAAAATGTGAAGAAATTGCATAATTTAAATGAAACAAGAAATAAAAATAAATAAATAATTAACACACATATTACATAATATTCATATCACTTGGAGGCTTGATGGAGAAAGTAGAGAATGCCAAGCAAAGTGATCGCAAGGAGAAGCAACAAAAGAGGAGAAGGTGGATGCAAAGAGCTCATTCCCAGAGGAGCAAGCAAGAGGAAAAAAGCAACACCCAAAAGACCTATTGTTGAACCAATTCCCCATCCATATTCTTCTTCCATTTTTATTTCTCTGTTGCTATGGCGGCAGAGGCACAAACAGTTATATCACAAACCTGAAAGTTTTAATAGATTTACTTGTATTTATAGGGTTGCATGGGGACTCTTTTGAAGAGTCCTAACGGTTGGCCAAGTATATTCGTATATGAATTGCGATGTTTATGAATATTATTTTTCTTTTTCTGTTTTTCTTTTTTTTTTTTTGGGTTTTTATACTTCTTACTTTTAGTTTTATTTTTATTTTTATTTTTTTGGTTTTTATATTTCTTATTTATTTTTCATTCTTTTTTCCTTTGAAAAACAAGAAATAATCATATATTTATTGGATTAATTTTTTATTGGTAAAAAAAAAAAATGAATAGAACATTTTGCTAATAGACTTTTCCTTTTTGTTATGTACAATCATTTTAAATTTTGTTAAATCAACATGCACGTAAAAAGTATAATCACCGTCAACATGAGTCGATTCGAGTGGAAGGGGTTCGATCATCCTATGCAAATGATGTTGAGCTTTATTCTGGATCTTATGTATGGAAAAAATTCACAATAGAGAATATTCCTTTGCAACACCAAAAAAAAAAAAAAAAAAAAAAAGGGGTTCGGATCATCCTATGCAAATGATGTTGAGCTTTAATATCTGGATCTTATGTAATGGACAAAAAATCACAATAGAGAATATTCTTTGCAACATCAAAAAAAAAAAAAAAAAAAAAAAAAAAAAAAAAAAAAAGGCTTATATATTTCTTATTTTATCAATATTAAAATTTCATTCTAATTCTCAAAAGAGGAAACAAAAAATAAATAAATGAACATATTTTTCTTTTTTATTGATCCTTCGATTAACGAAAGAAATATCCATAAGAAATTACAATAAAAAAGTACATTTTTCAAATACTAAAATTGAATCATTTTTATGTTTTAAAAAAAAAAAAAACTCTTACCAAAAGAGATTATAAGCGTTCAAGATGATAGTTTTTTTCAAGCTAAATGGTATAACAGACCATTTTCTGGATTACCCTATTGTGTCTACTTTTGCAATCCAATGTGGGGAAGAGGGCAAAAGTGGAACACTGAATTTATAATATAGAGAAATAGAAGCTATCTTTAAGAAAAAATAAATAAATTATTTTTATAGAAAAACATTGTAGAAAATGTTAATCTTAAATAAATCATGCCAATAATATTTTTATATAAAAAATCATCTAAATGTGATCTAATTGATTTTCTTATTCTTAACACGAGGAATGATAACTCTCAATTTCAAACCTTTCGATTACAATGGCTTTCATCAACTTAGTGATTCAAAATGTACCAATCATCTATCCATCATCAAAGTGAAGGAATACGATGGATTGAAGCCACGAACTTGATTACCCTTATGGATCGTTCTGTCTTTGGCTATTCAGCTATAAGCTTATAACTATTCATTTGGTCGTGAATATTTATATATATATATCGCAAGCATTGTAATCCTGACTTTAAGAGACTGTTTACATAATTTATATTTTATTTAATATGAAAATTTTTAAATTTTAATTTTAATTAAAATTAAGATAATAAATTTCATAAATCTATTTATGATTAATGATAGTTTTGCTAAAAATAATTAATCATATGTATTTAATCAATAATGTATGTTAAAAAATATATGATACGAAGTTGCATATACTAATAAAGATTATTGCCTTTCAAAAAAAAAAAAAAAAAAAAAAAAATTATTTGCCTTTCAAAAAAAAAAAAAAAAAAAAAAATAAAGATTTATTGTCATATACTAACCAAAGACTAATGTTACCTGTGTTACAGATATTAAAAAAAAAAAAAAAAAAAAAAAAGATTATTGCATATACTAACAAAGACTATGTACACTTGTATACAGATAATTTCATAAATAAAAACCAAATAGATTGTAGTAAAATACTTATTTCAATGAATAATGAATTAAAATTTTTAATTTATATATTAAATAAAATTCAAAAACAAATGAAATAAAATATTTTTTTTTTTGTAGACGATGAAAATAAAAATTATCATATGGACATATATTAATTAATAATATAAAAGGTGCTATTAATTTGTAAATTGTAATATTGCATCTCTATTTGCATCAAGGGAAATTCTTACATACAACACCAAATCAAACCAAACTAGAGTATACCTGTAAAAAAAATACAAAACAACAATATGTTTTTTAAAAAAACCTTTTTTTTATGGGACTGCGAAATATTTTCCTTGCATTAATATAGGAAATTAATTAAGCTTCTCAGAAAAAAGAGAGGGAGAGAAAATGAAGGGAATTAAATGACTAGTGCAAGCAAAACACACTATAAAGCAGAAAACACCAACCAAACAGAAATTTAAAAACCAAGCCTTGTTCCAATACAACAAATCCCAAACACACTAACCTCTCAGTTTCTTGAGTAACTATTAGATTAGCAAGTACATCTGGTTAGTGCAGCTATCGATCTCTGCAACCTCATTTGTGCTGCCCAAACGACTCGCCGTTGGCCAATGCATGCTGTGAAGAAGTTGCATTGGAAGGATCCCTGGTATATCCACCCATAGCCGCTGCAGCTCCTCCAAAAAACCCATGGTGATGATGAGACATATGGAATGCTGGCGCAAAAGCAGTTGCAACCCCTAATGGACCAAACTCAACATTCCTCTTCACCAATGGCTCACTTCTTATCGAGCTACGGTCCCCTTCCATCTCCCGATAGCGGTGTAGATACACAGTCAAGGGTTCAATGTAGTCATCAAACCCTAGCTTGCTCATTGCATAAAGCACATCCTCAGCTGTTATAGTCTTGCGCTGCTCGCGTTGGCAGCGCTCATTAGCTTCGCTAGTAATGAAGCTTATGTACTCAGACACGCATTCTTGGATTGTCTCTTTGGCGTCATCTGAGATTTTGGCGTGCGGAGGGAGTATCTTGCGCATGATGCGGATAACATTGGCAATTGGCATGAACCTGTCTTGTTCCCTCACAGTGCACTCATTGTCATCACCAGTAGAGTTAGTGTTGTTCTTGTTGTTGTTGCTGCCGCCACTGCCCCCGCTGCGATTGATTTCATCAAGCCTCATGTTCATCTCGGACAGCTTCAGTCCTGCAACAAATTTAGAAGCATACAAGTTAAAAAAAAAAAAAAAGAAGAAGAAGAAGAATTTTTATTATAATAAAGCCATAAATTTTTTATTTTACTATATTGAAAATTTTTCCTTTGTACTATTTGGATTTAAGGCAAAAAATAATGATTATTTTGAGAAAAAAAAAAGAGTGAAAATTCAATGATCTTCAAAATTACAGAAGTTCAAACGCGATTTTGAATATAATTAAAAAAATAATTAAATAATTGCTTAATATATTTAGCTTTCTCAATGAGATAAATGACATGAAAGCAAAGGTAAGTTAAGAACAAGGATTACAAGAACTGCCTTCTTCTTCTTTATAATGGGTTTTGTTAATAAGAAAACAACTAAGAAATTTTTGAATCAGAAATGGTTAATAGTTAATACTACGAATTGGAAAGGAGAAAGTGTGTCAAAGTCCACTCTAATGGACCCCACATCCTGATTGTCTTTATATATAAGACGTAATAAAATAGGTTTTGGCCCCTTTTTTTCTTTTGCATGGTTGGACTTGTCTACCCTATACGGTGGACCAAGGAGCGTTTTGAATAAAAGTGAACGGAAAAGTGGGGCTTTTTGAAGGTAGAAAATGCATGGATGCCACGTGTTTGAGTGGGGTCAGAAATTGCATGGACTTCTCTTGCCACTTGTAAAAACCTGCGTGTTTACTGTTTCATTCATTCACCTGCTATTTTCTTTTCCAGTTAATTACCATTTCACACTTGTAGTTGTTGACTCTAGACCACTACGTTTCTCTTGCCAAATGCAAATTATGAATAAATAATTAAATAATTCTACATTGGTTGGTTGTTGCCTTTTATTCACTTGCACTGAACACTTTCTTTCTTTGGAGATTCTTATCTAATTTTATATAATTAAAATTTGAAGATATAAAACTAAAAATAAAAAATAAAAAATAATGAAATTAAAGAAAGCATTATTTGTTTGGTTAACAATATAAAAAATCACTATAATCTCAAAACTTGATTTTGTTCTAAGAATATTTTATTTTAAAAAAAATAGAGAAAGTGCACAGATTTCACCTGTTCAAACCAGAAAATTTTAACAAGCAAAAAAAATCATAAAAAGAAAAACGGAAGGATATATCATCACTCACGGATGATAAACCAGCTACGACATTGCTAGGCTTAAAATGGAGGACAGTTAACAGAGAGAAAGAACCGAAACAAAAGATATAATTTGCATGCAAGAGATGATAATCTCTCTCTGTACATATATACATAAATGTATGCGTTTATATGAGATATAGGAAGAGAGACATTTACCAGAGCTTGTAGTAGGGAGCTTGCGATAGCCATGGAAGCCTCCGCGTTCCATCTTTCTGTTTATCTCTCTTGAAAGGAAAATAAACTCTTTTACTTCCTTCAAATGAAACTGATCAATCAAATGACTGTGCTACAACTAAATCAACACTGACACATTTATAGTAAAAAATAAAGAAGTGGTTCCACGTGGCAGCTGGCGACTTCAACGAGGAAGTGCGTTTTCTCTGTAATCACTAATTAATAAGCTGTAGAGACCATGGTTTTGAACTATCGATAACCGCTACTCTTTCATCGTTGGCCGTCCGGCGGTAGCTTCTTGCGGTTCTGACTCATAGTTAACAACCTAATTTATGTACTAGTAAATTGTGATGCATAGCTGAGATGGAATGTACTGTTGCAAGGGCGTTGAGTTGCCTAAATCCGATCTATCACCCGCTTATGAACTAAACTAACAAGAAATATTTCCTCCATTATAAGATTATTGTCTAAGATTTAATTTCTATTTGGTTGCTCTAAAATAATAGTCTCATTTACATTTTTTAAAATATTTCTTTTCACTTTTCCGCGGTATCTTTATATAATAATCCGTGTAAACAATTAATATAAGTTGAATTTTCTCTAGAAAAAAGTCTTAAAATACTCTTTCCATCCACAAATATAAATGATTTGAAGTTTTTGCATTGTAGTTAAGAAAATAATTAATTTTCTGTATGATAGAAAGTTTCATTAATTTAACTAAATTACCCTTTATTCCATTATTAATAATTGATGTGTTTAATATATATAAAGGTAAAGCAGATAAAAATTTATCAATTACTTCTCAAGCAACTTATATTTATGAACAAAAAGATTACTCTAAAACGACTTATACTGGTGTACAAGGAGAGCAATTAATTTTAAAACCTTTGATACATTCATCCTATTTGAAAATTTCAAAGAGAATACAATCTTTAAAGCTTTTAAGGGTATTATTGGAAAAATAAGAAAAAAATTCCATTTAAACTTACTCAACTAATTATTATTTTTAACCTATACAAAAAATATCTGAGACTATAATTTTAAAGACGAACCAATTAATTGTTTTATTTTCAATAATTCATAAAAAAATAAAGTGGAAACAATTTTTGAACAACCACTGTTTGATTGGTTTGGTGAATTTTTGGATCAAATATATTAAATCTAAGTATACTTCCTTTATAAGAATGTTTTTATATAACAATAAATTCTTCTATAGTTGGATTAAATTGTTACATGTATTTATTCCTAAACTATGTTTTAAAGTACCAATCGAATTAAATTTAAATTGGTTTAAACAGTTTAGTAATGAATTGAAGTAATTCTCTAAGAAAATTATTATAATTATTGATCATATAAGGTTCTACGTGAAAAAAATATTTATTACTCATTAAACAATAAATGTGATAATTATTTAAAAATAAATTATTTTTTAAAATATAACAAATATTATAGACAGAAATAATACTTATATTACATCCCATGAGTAACAGAGCAATAATATTTAATTTAATAAAGTTATTACTCGTTAGATGTAACTGAATACGAATTATTATATTGAATAATAGGTCAATGCTAGTCAGAATGTAGACCTTCTTGTCTCCTAAGTTTTGATTTTATCTTGTCCTATAGAAGTAACGTTGGTTGTGGTTGAGATGTGATTGAGGTGTACAAAGACGTTACTTGAGCCCACTAACAAAAAGATTAAATAATAAATAAATAAATAAGAAAAATCTAATCTAATAATAAGATAAGATACGAGTACCATTGACCAATAACCAAACAAGTTTGCTACAAATACACGTGGAAGCCATGTAAAGCCGCTGTCAGAAATATTATACAAACTCGGAACTCTCCGGAAAAACATACTTTTCTTTCTCTCACTTTTTAGGGATAATATTATATTTAGTGCCTAAATTTTTTCAAAGATTCTGTTTTTGGTGTTTAAACGAAAACTATATTAATTAAGCATTAATTACTATCTATGTTCCATAATATTGGTTACATTTGAAATTTTACATTTTTTAAAAAAATCTCTCACTTTTTAGGGATAATATTATATTTAGTGCCTAAATTTTTTCAAAGATTCTGTTTTTGGTGTTTAAACGAAAACTATATTAATTAAGCATTAATTACTATCTATGTTCCATAATATTGGTTACATTTGAAATTTTACATTTTTTAAAAAAATCATTAAATACACGTGGAAGACATGTAAAGTTGCTGTCAGAAATATTATACAAACTCGGAACTCTCCGAAAAACATACTTTTCTTTCTCTTATTTGCATACAATTTTTAGGGATAATATTATTTTTAGTGCCTAAAATTTTTTCAAAAATTCTGTTTTTGGTGTTTAAACGAAAATTGTATTAATTGAGCATGAATTATTATCTATGTTCCATAATACTTATCACATTTGAAATTTTACATTTCTTAAGAAAATATTTAAATGTGTCTAAGTTACAATAAATTATCGAGTAAATTGACTATATTACCTTTAATTTAATATTAATTCTCCAAAAAAAAATCATTAAATTGAAATAATAATTATTGGTCATATACAAAGGGTAAACATGAAAAAAAACTATTTATTACTCTTTGAAACCACAAATGTAGCAAGTATTTTAGAACAAACTATTTTCTCAAATGTTACAAGTATTATGAAACAGAGGCAGTATCTAAATAAACCAATTAAATGTCTCATGCTTATTTAAACCATCAAAAAGCTGATTGTATCAAAATGGGCCTCCTTTTTATATTGGAAAAAATAATTATTTTGTTTTTGAAGTTTTATAAAATTAATTAATTCATTTCTGCATTTAACTATTAGGTATTTAGTCCTTGAGTTCAGGTTCTGTCCTATTAAATCGTTCTTTCGTTCAAAAATAGAGACTTTTCCCGTTAAATGTAGGTAAAAATACTAAAATACTGCTCAATAATTAAAACAAACATTGAATAAAAATTAAATCTCACCATCTCTCATCTCCATCGTCGTCAATTCCTCAAAGTTACCTCCGGTGACCTTGACAAATATATGACAGAGATAAATAGAGGGTGTGGTTTTCAGTGTCTACTTTTTTCTTTTTTCTTTTTCTTTTTTTTTTTTTTTTTTTTTTCTTTGTTTTTTTTTTTTTTTTTTTTTTTTTTTTTACACATTAGCTTAACAATGAATAGATATTGTTGTTGTGGTTCTCATAATCCACAATCTCGATGAGTTGGTCTCATAGTAAAAATTCTGGCATTTCTCGTCAGCAAAGAACACTTAGTTGCCTTCTTTTTTTTAAGTTCTTACAGTCAATTGATAGTGGTTTTTGTTCAGCACCAAAATAGAAAGATTTATGAAGTTTAGACATTACTCTATAATTACTAGTCTTTTTTATGACGTGCATTGCACGTTGATTGTGCTCATTACATACTCATTTTTTATATTTTTTTAATTTTTTTATCTATTAAACATAATTTTTGTTTAGATTAAAATAAATATAAGTTGTTAATTTGTATTATATTTTGTTGTACAAGCTAATCGTGATGCTATTTCTTATGTACTTAATTTTATTTTTATATAATGAAGCGGTCTTAAAATAAAGTTCAACACAATCCCTAGCTGACCTAATATTTCAGTCCCTAATTTATAAATACAAATTCTTAAAACTCTAATAGCTACCCAAAAAAAAAAAAAAATCAAGTCATCCCCAAATTCTAATAGCTACAACCATAAAAAAAAAAAAATCAGTCGATCCCCAATCCCAAATTCATATTGTATATAGCAACTATAATGAAAAATAATAATAGAATTATTTTTTTTACTGCTAGGTAAAAGTAGATAAACGAGAGAGATGGATTTTTTGAATTGTTAAAGATAATACTTTAAGCTTACAATGAAGTATTATTACCAGAGTGTTATTAGAGAAAAGAAATATATGAACATACACACAAATTCATTGAAAATTTCACAAAGAAATGAACCAAAACAGAAATATATAGTTGTAGTTTTTTTTTTCAAGTTTTCTAATCATATTTTTCTTTCAAATCAAACAGTTAAGGATATAAGAGAAAAATATCGAAAATAAAAAATTAAAGAATGCTTAATTAATTAAGATGTCATATTTTTAATTGAAGGAAAATATAAGATCTCTTATGTAAATTAAAATAAAATGATTAGTAGTTTTACAAATGTGTACTATTCGTGGTTAATGATTGATGATTTTACTATTTTCTTACTTTCATTCTCCAAGAATTAATTCTATGATTTTCAATGAATTTTATATCTACAGGTTTTTAGGTAAATTAATTTTTATATGTTTTTTCTTTGCCTTTGTAATTTATTTCTCTCTTTACGATTTCCAGTTTTCAAAGATTATTAATTTTCATTTTAGATTTTGTAGATGGTTTGAATTTAAGAGTAGCGAGTAGAAATTTGTGAGTTAGAATTGATTATAGCAAATGTACTGGTCAACATTTGTCAATTTCCATTCAGGAACGCTATCACCGACCACTGCCCTTGTCGTCATTTTCATTACAAAATATCTTTTGTCCTGCTTCTCTTAACACCTCTAGTTAATTTCTTTTTTCTACTCGCAATCTCCGGAAAAGAAACTGAAAACCCTGCTTGATCTATTTGTTTTTGTGCTGCGTACAAATGTGTTTTTAGATTTTCATTCTTATGTTTTCCAAGTTTTAAAAGCTTTCTTTTTAATTTTTGTAGTTTAAGCAGGTTTCTTAATCAGTATACCGCCATAGAAAAGATGTATGGCTGGATGTGCTGGGTTAGAGTGGATGTTCGGTGGACTAGAGTGTTAGCTATAGTATTGTATACTTTCAATTGGGCTCCAGATATGAAAGTTACTTCTAGTGAGGTTTTATATAGGTGATTTCTTGATAAGTTTGCGACGGTATGTTGGGTAGGGTTGAGAGTGGAAAATTATTTTCTTTCCTGTTTTGAAATTAATTTCTCCATGCTCGTCGATGTTTCAGAGTTTGTATGTGGTTGGCTAGAGATGATGATGGATTTCCAGAGATTTCTCAGGTAAATAGGAGCTGAGTGGTTATTCTCGGTCACTGTAATCAATATTTAACTTGCACGCTCTGATAATGGCTTATAGGAGATGTTTGG